AAAAGAAACTAAACAAAGGAATTGAAGAGATTTTTAAAAGACTTTTTGAAAACAGAATGGAGGATCTGGCCTAAACCGATCCTTCAACAGTATTCCCTGGATGCCCCGAAATGGGGGCGGGACAGAGTAAAGCCGAACTATTATCGTTCGAAGAAGCTAAAAAATACATAATAGGACCAATGATTATTTTTTTAAAAATTATTACGATTTGTGTATGCTTCAACAAAGAGCATGTTAAAATGTCTTATGTTATAAAAGAATACTAATTTCAGTACTCACGCATTATACCGTCGAACATTTTCTTAAAACTTGAAAATAAATGTGGGAATGGTTCATATTTAAGTATTATTTCCTTGTTGCTTACAATAATCTATATTTGCATTTTGTCAATTTCTTATACTCATTTACAATATTAAAATATATTTGAAAGATACTAAAATGTCTTTGGCACGATGTTGGCAAAAATGGTAGACGGCATAATGCGCAAGTACCCCGTTTTCTTGTTTTTATATTTTCTGGTAAGCAAAAAATAATTTAATTACTAGAAATTATCATTCATAAGTCAATATCGTTTGAAATATATAACAGAAAAGAATTCATAGATTTTTATATTCAAGCAAAAATCAAAAGATAAAAGCGAGAAAGGCGTGTGCGAGAATCAAACTAAATATAAAGTACGTTTTATGGAATAAAATAATAATGAATGTGTTATGATCATCATCGGCATACTAGCACTATCGTTGAAATTTAACAATGGTGCAAGTGACGTAGTATGGGTATCTAGATCCTGACTGGTTATCGAAGCGTGACATTTGTTTATGTTAACAACTGTTCTTTTCATTCTATTTTGAGTAAATCAAGCCCGTTAAGTATCAATTCTCTTAAGTGACATAATCTATACCCGTTCACAAAGATTTTTTTACGAAGATTTCAGTTCTTTCACCTTATATTTTTATTTGACACAGAATCAGGCTCGAAGCCAAGTAGAACATAAACAAACCTAATTATGCATAAAAGTTGCCAAGTACACAAAAATGTATAACTGCAATAAAATACATAAACAAATAATGAATCTAAGCTATATAAAAGACGTAGACGAGATGGACCCAGCCATTGGAAATAAAAACAAATATTTTAAATATTTTTTTCTCCAAGAGTACTCTACTTAATAAGACAGTGATGGATGTTCCTGTTTATTTAAGTATACATATTACTATAAGTATACGTATAATCACAAACCTTAGATGAATCTACTCTTTCTTCCCCTTCAGATTTATGATTTTGATTTTTAACTCACTTTCGTAACACTATTTCTCAAGGTCTTTCATAAATTTTTTTTATTTAAGTCAAAAAATCTAATTTTTTAACATTTTAAATTGTCTTTACAGGGTCTCGTCGGCCAAGTTCATCATCCATGAGGTCTGGATTATCATTTCGAACAAACTCTTCGTTTAGAGGATATCGAACATCAAGAGAACCAGTCCGGCGACCTGCCTCTTCACCTGCAGACTCATCAATACAATTCCCACCAAGTCCCTGTAAGGTGCCCAATCATAATCCCCCTCAACATCATCATCATCATAGTCATCATCCCTTACATCACAACAGCCCAGTTGATGAAGATGAATCTATAGACGTAAGTACTACATTATTAATGAAAACCGGGTTTTTTAAATATTATAACCGATAAACTTATTTTATACTATAATTATTTGAAAGGTTAAAAATTTATTACTGTGCCCGGATTCGTTGAACCCATTTGCCAGACAATATGAACGGTGTGAGAGCAACCCCGCAACAGCACAAGAGTACCAAGCAATACATGGCATAAGACACATGGGCCCGAGTCCCGCACGAGTATGAGCACCACAATCGATTAGATGGACAGAGACCTGCTTGAACAAAAGCTCAGTGCTCAATTCTACAGAGCAGCAGTGCCAAATCTACTGAAGGCATCAGATAATTATTTGTAAACATGAATTCATTCTTTACACGCGAATTTTTTGTACGTTTATAGTAACATTTTAAATAAATATAAATGAAATTTTTCTCTCGTGTCTTAAATATAGGCAAAGTATCCCCTTGCTATGTCACATTTTGTCGTGATGCAGCTTTCATCTACGTAAGACAGCTAATCATCTAAGACAGACTAGGATGCCGTCAGTTATCTGTTGCTTTTTGACTGTTTAATCAGTATGTCATTACATTCAAAGGGATGCGTGTTGTAAAATGTTGAGTTTTTGTGAGTTAAATGCTAGACCACAGAAATTTTGAAGAAGAATTTCCTCGGCAAAGTATAGTTATGGACATGATCAGACAATGCTGATTTTCTACGCATTCCGAATACAATAAAATATTCATTCCAGATTTTTGAAAATCTTAGAATTGCATTTTTAGTCTGCACTGGTCTTTAAAAGAATTATAGCATATTTTTAATTTATATTACGTTTTATGTTAAGCACAGTTAGGCAATATGAGTGCTTTTGCTTGTTTTAATTCATGGGATTCGTTTTGCTTATGTAATTTATTTTGTTTAATTTAATTAATGCTATTGATATCTCTTGCAATGTTTATACCAAATGTAATTTATTTTGCTAAATTTAGTTAATGTTATTGATTTTTCTTGTTTAGAAACAGTGCACTTGATTTTGCTTGTTTATACCCACTGTAAATGATTTTGCTTAATTTAGTTAATGCTATTGATTTTACTTGTTTATAAACAGTGTAATTGATTTTACTTAATTCAGTTAATGCTCTTGATTTTGTTTGTTTATACTCAGTGTAATTGATTTTGTTTAATTTAGTTAATGCTATTGATTTTGCTTCTTTATACCCAGTGTGATTGAATTTGCCTTTTTAGATCCAGTGCAATTGGTTTTTAGTTTGGTTAATGCTATTGATTTTACTTGTTTATCTTAGTGCAATTGAATTTACTCAATTTAGTTAAGGTTAATGATTTTGTTTATTCATACTCAGTGTATAGCATTAACTGAATTTTGCTTAATTCAGTTAATTCTAATGAGTTTGCTTGTTTATTCCCAATGTAAATAATTTTGCTTAATTTAGTTAATGGCTGTTAGTGATACTGGTTTTGCTTGTTTAACTCCATGCGATTGATTAGTTTGTTTATGATCAATGTAATTTTTTGTTTTTGTTTAATAGAGCCAATGCGAAAGGTTTTTATTGTTGGATTGAATGTCACTGGCGTTGTTTGTTTTATTGACTGCGAAAAGTTTCAAAACGCATGGAATCAAGAAAGTAGTGAAAAAATTTTAGAAATTACAGCAGAAACCAGGATTTTATCTTTCGTTTTTCTTGGAAAAATATTATAAAAATTGACCAAAAGTTAATTGACCAAATGTTTGCCCACTCCTTACATAGAAAATTATTATTTTTTTTTTTGATAATGCTATTATATTTCTATTTAAAAAAGCAAAAAGATAAATGGAATGAAATAAAGAATAAGCATAGAAACGCAAATAACGAACAAGGAGTGAAGAAAAATACTTCAAATTGAAAAAGTAACAAAATGTAAGCAGTTTAACTGATAAGATGAAAGGAGTTAGTTCACATTCAGTGAAACAATAAAAAATATCCTACATTTACGCAAGATCATTACATTGGAAGGCTATAAAAGATATGTTGCACGAAGGAAAATAATATCTTCGCCTAATGGTACATTGAACTATAGAAAACTTGATGGTACTTCCAAAAACATAATTTAGGTAAGTGAAAAAACCATGCGAATAAAAAATGAGTTATATTTTTCAAACATAAGTATTTTTGTTGCTATGAGATTTTTCAGAGTTTCCCAAGGGGATATAAGAGTCATGTTTTAGACTACTAACGGGCAAAAATTTTCTATTTCTGAATTTGAAAAAATAGTTCAAGGAAATTGTACATAAAAAAAATAAAAAGGGGAAAAATTACAACATAAAAATTTCTAATTACTTAATTTATAAGTAATCTACTAAATAGCATTTTTATGATAAAAATATTTTTTAAAGATGTTACAATGACTGTAATTATTTAGGTTCGGGGCTTTCATTTGTATTCAAGTTAATTTAATTCTGGTAAATTAAGTAGAATTTTTCAAAAATTTCTGTGAAAATACAGAGAAAAAAAACAAGAATCTCAGTTAAACGCATAAAACCGAGTTTTCTTGTTAACAGAAATACAAAAAGTGATAGTTTTTTCTAGTGTAAAAACATACTTTCTTTCAGATATTTCCATGAATTAAAATTTATTTATTCTGTTACTATTAAATACGTATAGTCTGTCTATGGAAAGAACTCCCATCGCCTTTTACCTGGAGAAGTGATGGTGTTTATGGTTACAAGGTTTAACTACATAAAGTAGGGGTGTTTTAGTGAGGTTTTGGCTCTGGCGGGAGAGAGTAAAGGAATCAGGTTAGAGAGGCTCCCCTCTGTGAAATACGCTATTTCTTGTTTCTATAGCAACAGGCGGCTTTTTGTGAGGAGAGGAGTTTTGTTGGCTTAAGCGATAGAGCATTCGCCTTCTAATGAAGTGAAGGGGATCGAATCCCAACTACAGCAATTCGATACGAATTCTGCACTCGGCTAGCACCGACCACAATGCTGACTTAAAATATCCTCAGTGGCAGACGATTCATCTGTCAAGCTAACCGTGTGAGATTTTCGTGGTTTTCAACTCCTTGTAACGCAAATGCGAGTTAGTTCTATCATAAAGTCCTCCACGAAGGCAAATTTCGCCCAATACTTGATCCAGGAGTTCCCTTGTCATCTGGATCGGGTTCAAAATTACAAAGCTACGGAGTTGAACATTAGCAGTCGTAAAACAAAAATTGGGTCGGCTGGTAATGACATGAAATATAAGTAAAAGTAAAGTCTTTTCCTACCACGGCCTCTGCTCAATTTTGATTCCATGTGATAAAAGCAGGAAATTTTTACGCATGCAAAAAGAATCGCATGTGAATGAAAACCTGATTGGTCAGTTTTTCCTTGAGAAATATATTTTTCCAATCAGGCTCTCTCATTCGTTTGTTTCTTCTTTCTTGCATGTGAAAAAATTGCATCCAGTGAGAATGGCCCTTTAATGATTCTGATTCTACCCTAATGTAATAATGTTCTCAGCGTTTTCAGAGCAGAAAAAGCTTTAATGTCTAAGTCTGAAAGCAATCTATAGAATTGTACATACTTTATTCTGTATAAATTATCGAAACTCCTGTAAAAGGTTTGTTACTGATTCTCTTTATCCATGATATTAACATAAACTTTTTTCTCTTTTGTAGGACTCACCAGTACCAACTGTAAACGTAAATCATCTAAGTAATCACATCTAGAAATATCAATTTAAACGTATACGTCAGACAATGCAACATAATTAAGTTTCTGAATGTGCCATATGTAGCACAAGACTGCAAGCAAAGAAGACATTTTGTAAGTTATCAAGTGAGCTGTGATCAAACAGTTATATAACTGGGTCCAGATAGTTTTTTCTTTTTGGTTTTGAAATTTAATATACATAGCGGAAAAATCATACTATTATCTATGCTGCATCTTCAGCTTATTTGTTATCATGATTTAAATTTTGCTGAGGTGACTTGTCGGCATTGGTTTTTCTTTTTGTTTAAATTTTGCTTTATGAAGATTATCAAATTACGCACCGCCACACCCTTTCTATAATTTTATTTCATTTTATTGCAATTAAACACAATACAAACCTTTTTAGCCAAATGGCTTTTTTAATTGAAAAATACGATTTAATTGTATATCTACACCTACCAGATCCAAATATACTTATATTAGTCATACATATGTAAAAAAAACCATTTATTAAATAATAATACAAAATTACTTTTACTCACTTTGCTTACTTTTTCTATTAATAATAATACAAAATTACTTATATACTGTACTTATATTATATACTATTAATGATATATAATATTACTTTTATCCATGTTTAACGATTGATACTGGTATAAATTTGTGTCTTATGAATAAGTGCACTGGCAGATATATAAAAATAATGTGGTTTACTTCAGAAAATCTATAAAATGATGTTATTTTAGGCTTCATTTCAGTAATATGTTTATTTTTAGATTTACGGTTTTTAATATAAACGCAACTATGCATATTAATGTTTGGCTTATTTTATTTAAATGTGTATAAAATCATGAAGTATTTTTCTATGAAAATCTTTTGTTGTTCCTTAATAACGATATCAGTTGAAGTATGGTTCAATGCTAATAAGTTGTGGGAAGAAATGCATTGTTTACATATGATCATTGACTTTTGCTCTATTTTTTTCATTTCTCACTTACATTTGTTGTATTGAAAAGATTGTACGTAGAATATAAAATCAAGGATATCAAGCTTCCGTAGATTTAATTTAGTGCAGTAAATTTTAAATTAACCCCATGTGCTGTGATTTCAAATATATAAGCTTTGGAGGTATTTTATAAAAAAAAAATCTTAAAAAAAATCATGGCTGAAATTTTTGAACAATTCTTTATTAATTTGAAACAAATAAAATATAACATTTTGCAAAGATTAATTTGCTGTAGCATAAATATCAAAAATTGTTTTTGCAGAATACATATGGGAAAGAATAAAGCAAAAAAAGTTAAAGCCAGATACAAGAAAGCATTGCCTTGATTGAATATAGTATTCATTGTTTCATTTTGTATATATTATTGCGATTTTTATATAGAGTACAAATGATTTATTTCGATTTTATTCGTGTATTCTTTTTAAGTTCTTTGTGATATTCCATAATCAATAGCACTGTTAAAAATTTCGGATCAAATTACGTAAAAAGTACCAGCGCAGGGTACTGGTGCATTTTACAGTAAAATCCATTTTCACCGGAACATAATACGGAACAAAAAATCAGAAATACTGCTGTAAAATTCAGTAATTTCTACATCAATAATTACCGTAAAATCACTACTAAATAAGTATTATCGTAAAAATTATGGTTTAATATTTTACTTCGGTCACCCAAAGTGCTGGTACTTTATACCGTAATGTGATCCAGAATGCTTTGCTCTGTATATAACTTTTTTAAATGTTATGAAAGCTGTGGTGGCAAGCTAGAACATTTACCATGAAAATATTCTGTTGAAATTTGTTGCCAAAGAAATTTTAAGGAAATAATTTTTTAAACTATAAAAAATTAGTCAACAGGCATGTCGAGTATTTTATTGAAACATCATCGCATGTTTGAGCAACCTGAAGCAACATTGAGAGAAATATTACAGACATGTATTCAAGTTGAACTGACATTGTCATAATTTCTCAGTTTCTGATGTAATTTATCTTTGGTCTCAAGGATTTCTCACTATTCGGTCTGTTCGGAGCTACTTCACTATTTCGGACTGTTAAAATTGCAGACATTAAAAGCTTATAAATCAGTTATTATAATTTTAATCAGTTATTACAATCAGTTCTTATAATTTTTTTAATATAAGTCTTGGTGTCCTTTACTATATTCCAATTTTTAGTAACTTACATTAATTTAGTTTTTAAAAAGTTTTCTCAAAGTTTCTTAAAATTAGAAGTGCAAATATCTCCGAGATTTATTTTAATAAAAATTATCAGTAATACTCGAAATTTTTAACTGAGTCATAATCTTTTAAACTCTGGAAGTACGACATTCGGAAATGGCACAATTGCCCAGTTGTTTTTGGTATTTAATGTAACAAGTAAAACTTAAAACATTCTGCATTAACCTTTTCAGTGTAAAATAGATAAAAGGATCTTCCAAAAATTTTCAAAAGCTTACTGAAGTTTTTTGCAAAATTTTATAAGTCAAACTTTATTAAATTCTGTTTTCCTCAAAATCCAAATTTTAGTGTTGGAAACTATTCCAAAATTATAGAATCATATGATCACAAAGATCTTTTACTTTTCTCACTATAAATGAAGTTGCTTCTAAACATTAGTTAATTTGAAAGTTTGAAAATGCAAAAGATTTCATCAGTGACAATTTAAAAATAATTATAATAATGGTCAATTTACAGAACCATTTGCTTAAGATTTCATATAAAATGTTATTAATATAAAATGTCATTAAAGAAAATAGTACACATTAAAACATTTTTGTACATGCTGTTATGTTAGAATGCATTAAGCGGAGCAAAATGTAAATTTTATTTTAGCCATATTTTACATGCCAAACTTCACATGCCATGTTTTTGTTCATTTTATCATTTTATTCTATTCATAGAAGTAAACAGTTTTTAACAGTTTCAGTTGTAATCAAAACCTGAAATATTAGATGCATTTAATGTAAGGACATTAAATTTCATAATAGATAAATAATATAATTTTTATGTATTACTAATATTCCTCGCTAATGTAATATATAATAAATATATACCAACTAATATAATATATAAATAATACCCGAATAAAAACGTATAAAGTCATATGAGATTACAGTTAAAGCTGTAAATCAGTACATAGTTTAAAAGTTTCATGTTTATTTTTTTCAGTTAGTATATTTCTAGTTTCTAATATTTGATTTTATGTTAAAAAAAGGCCCAGTTTGTAATACTGTTCGGTATTATTTATTTTATTTTATTTCCCTTGCTTTTAGTGGTGTACTATAACAGCTTCAGTCTCTTATGCAGTTAACCGAATGTTAAACTCAATCCAAATTCTATTTTTTTTTAACCGTCGTTGAAAAGCAGACCCAGTTTTGAGTTTACGACTACCAATGTTCAACTCCGTATCCTTCTAACTTTGAACCCAATCTAGAACACAACACTCCTTTAGGATTATATTACAAATATACTTAATCCAGCGATTTTCCCTTTTTGACTCACATATGAAAAGAGAATTTCCATCACTTGCGGCCCAAAATCGCATTGACTTTATTTCAATACGGTACTCTCGTATTTCATCTGGTATTATTGCTTTTTGTATGCATACTGACGGAGTATGCTGGTTTTTCTCATTCTGCCGGTCCTGAAGGGGCTTAACCCGTTATACTTTTATTTTAAAAGAGTTATAGTTGCATTTAAAATGTTATGATTTCAAATTAAATTTTGTAAATAATAAATCATTGAAACCACTAAGTCTTACCTGGTAGTGGAAATTAATAGATTTTTTATTCATAATATATGAAATTTTTGATGGAGACTTAACAAAAAATAAGATAAATTTACCTTAAAAATGTAACATTTATTGCGTAAAAAAATTCCTTTCAAAATTTAGATTTCGTAATAAAATAGCTAAAATTTATTATCTGATTTAGAAATACACTGCTTTGAAAACTGGCAACAAAAATGACATAAGGTGTCTTGCATCTCAGAAACATTTCCTACTAAAGCTAAATTATAATTCAATTTAAATAAACTTTTAGAGATGTTTCTAGATGAATTAAAGATATGTGATACATTTCTAGTACATGAAACGATTTTTAAAAATCCACAATCACACTCACAGCACTTATTTAATTTATGTATCAGAGGCACTTTTTACAACCCGACACTTTTTACATTCTCATGTACAGTACGCAAAAGAGAGCGGCATTGACAGTATGTTCTTGATCTAATAATCTGATTTTTATGTTTTAGGACTCAATCTCAATGCTTTGAGGGGGTGACCTTAAATATTCTAACTAATTAGTGCAGACGATATTATGAAATTAGACGCTAAAACGTTCTTTCTTTGAATAAACATGCCTTTTTCTCGACGGATTCAGATTTCTGAACCCCAAATTATAGTGGGTAGCCGTAATCTGGAAAATATGGTCCCAAGTTTCGTCAGAGAGAGGTCCAAAATTTGGATCCCTTAATGTTAATTTTATTTTATGCGTATTTCGCTACCTCATGAGAACTTTTTAAGCGAATTGATAAATTTTTATTTACTATTATAAAATACAATTTTTGAAAAAAAATTTCTGTGGTTAGTAGGTAACTATTCGACCTATTTTGCTCAATTTTGTATTTTACAATGTGAAATTGCAGTCTTTAAAATAATTTGAAAATTAAATACCTGACAATTCAAGCTTTTTTCGACTATTATTAAATAAAATAACAATAAAAGATGATAAATATTTGCCGAAAGTTTTTTTTGTATGAGATTATCTTTGGATAAACAAATTTTATAATTTCGTGCAAAAATTTATCAATCGCTTAAAAAGTTCTCAAGATCTGACGAAATAAGCAAAAAGTAAAATTAATATTAAAAGATCCAAACTTTGAATCGTTCTCCTGATCAAATTGTTGGAACCATATTATTCATTGCGACTACCTCTTATATTTTGGGACCGAAAATACGAATTCGTCCAAAAATAAGTCATGTTTATTCAGCAAAAGTACGTTTTTGTGTCTGATTTCGTAACTTAAAATGTCGCCTACTCTTATTAATTAGCATATTTTTGGTCACCCTTTTGAACCATTAAGATTGAGTCTTAGATCGCGAAGATCCAATCACTAGATCAAAGATTATTCAGAATGATCCGTTTCTTATATTTTGCTCTGTTTGAAGCAAAATATGTACTTTTCGAAACACTCGATTTGTACCTTTCGAAACATTTCTACAATAAAATTTAAAAAATGTGACCTAACTGTGAAAAGCTTAGCTTGTAGTTCAAAACTTGTTTTGATTTTCAGAGGATGAAATTATAACCCGAAAAATTAAAAAAATGAAAATTCACAATGAATATAAATTTTTTATTAATTATGTTTTA